GGGGTCAAAATGACCCCCTTTTCCCTTTTGGGCAAAGTTTTTTTTAAAAAAAATTGTAAATTGTGATGGGCGCTAGGCGCCCACCCAGGTACAGCCGCCCGGGTTGGGGCGCCCCGGTCGAGGCGTGCGGAAATTTTTTTGTGGGCACCGGGCGGATTGTTTGTGTAAACATTGATTTTACCTCTCTCTCTCTCCTATGTTTATCTAGCTATCTATCTATCTATTTGTCTAGTTTTTCAATCTTCATTCTTTTATCCATTTTTGTTTTTTTAACACCCCCACTATGGCTAAGGGACATCTTATACTCCTTAACTCTAGGGCTTAGACCTAGTCACCATCCCAGGCCTACCTTGGAGATAAACCCCAAGCTTGTTCCACCTAAAACTGCATTGGAGAACATATTAAACTAGATAGTCCATGTTACACCCATTGCTCAAAAATTCGGCTGCCCGGCCGCCTAAAACGCATAGGCAGAATCTAGGCGGCTTGTGTCTAGGCGGGCAATCACCTAAAACGTGTAGGCAGAACTTAGGCGGGGCACCTAGGCGGCTTGCGTTTAGGCGCTGTCTGCCTCGACGTAGGTTGCCGAGAGCGGAAAAAGCCCTCGGCTACTGTCAAAATAGTAATTCACCCCACCCAAAAGGGGGGAAAAGGGTTTTGGGGGGATTCTAAACCCCCAAAACCAAATCCGTGCCATCTAGAGATAGAAAAACTTCTCAAAAACCTTTGTTATGTAATTTATCGCATGATCGATAAATTTTTACACTTTTTTTTTTCATAATCAGATCTAATGCTTCATGGTAGTTTTTTGAGCTTCTAGTGGTCTATAGTGAGGACCTCTGGCGATTGAATAGACGAGGTTTGGGCCGGCATCATTTTCATTTTGATATCATTATGCCATTATGATATTTGATTAAGGGTTTTGAGTTTTTTTGGTAATAACATATAATGTTTTGAATCATTTGATTTTTCTTTTTTTTACTTTTTTTCTTTTAATGGTATATTTACATGTTTGTAGTTGAAAGATCGATTTCTTTTTGTGATTAATTGATTATTAACTCGTTTGGATGATGAATTTGGTCCTTTGTTGAATTGTTTTATGAATAATTGGTTCTTATTTTGTACAATGTGTGATGTTTTGATATCCTATTAGTTGTGTTTTGAGAATGGGTTGGGGCCTTGGTGGTAGTAGTACCAACGAGCCCTATGATGAGGTCTTTGGCTCCATTCTCACCAAAGGGTAGGGACCCAAATTCCCACTGACTTACCCTTTTATTTTTATTAGTTGTGTTTTACTTTTTTGATATTTTTATATATTTGTAGATGAAACATCTTACCGATTTGGACTTATATTTTCTGAATAGTCATAAACTTTGGAAAAAATTGATATTTTGTGAGTATTTGATATCCAAAACCAAATCTTATGGATATTGATTAATAAATAATACTTATATTATAATTTTGTCTTAATTGATAGTCCCTACTCGTTCCTGTTCTTGACAAGTGGCCGGCTGCCTAGGCAGCCAAGCCCCCAAAATGCCTAGGCAGGCGCCTACGCCTTTTTTAACACTTGTTACACCATATGGCATGCTTTATGCACTCTAACAAAAAACCTACATTGCCATAGGAGCCCCACCATTAAGAAACCTCAATTAATTGACTTAAGCCCCCATATTTAAGCCTAAAGCTTCCTAATCATCCCGAGCTATTAGGAGAACGTATTAAATTTTAGCTAAGCTTAACCCACTCATAAACCTTCTAAAACTGTTCTAAATGAAACCAGTCCAGTGTAATTGGGCCCTAATCCCCCCCCAAATGGCCCAACCCTAAGTTTGACATATTTAATAATTTAAAGAAATTAAAATAAAAAATTATTTAAATGCATTGAAAGTGAGCTATTTAAATGCACATTAACCCCCAAAACCGACCCTAAACGCCCCCTGGAGGACGTATGAAGGCAGGTGGCTGGAAATAGCCCCAATCTAGGGCCCACCATGTCCAGCGACACACTAACGACGCATGTCGAATGGCTAGTGATACTCATTGCATCACTGGCCAGTGGATGGCTCAGATTGAGCTGCCGCTTGGCCAGTGACTATTATGCCCCTAGGGCCTATAACTAGACCCTTATCTGACCATTATAGGGTCCAAACTCTGACGTTTTGATCGCTAGCCCTAATTCGCCTCACAGACCCTAGGTGTGCAAACCCTAACCCTAGATCTCTAGGATAGTTGCGATCCCAAATTTTCCAGCAAGCCCTAGCCCTACTCTTCCAAGACCGAGATAATCGAAAGCCTCACTTTACAACCTAGACAATGGGTATCCTTTGACAAACGCTGGACTATTGTAGGCATTAGGCATATGTGCCTGTTAAAGTACCCAATTCTATTTTGAAATCCCCACTTTATTCCAAGCATTATCCTTAATAACACTAGCCGGCACGGCCTGTGGACTATACAAGGATGGTTGAAAGGCTTTTGTGGTCCAGAATTTTATGGAACCCCACTTTTCTTCTAATTCCAGTTTTGATCTTGTTTATTTTAATCTATGTCGGAGGAAGTTTTAGTCTTTCTCAGCCAAATTTTGCATGTAAACACCTTCTCGACTTTTCTTGTCCTTGGACCATTGCCCATTTTGGATGCATTTAAAAAATGTTGAGTGCATGAATGCCTTGTTCATGTCTGATCCTCAGGTGCCTCCATTTGCATATAGCCACTCAAGCTAAGTTGATAATGCACTTTAAATGTAAACCCACTGTGCTACAAGGTTTTGGATTATTTGGCTGATTGAGCTTAGATGATTTGATTGTGTTTGTTTCCATGTGAGAACCCTAAATTTGGGCTACATTTACATGGGAGTGGATATTAAGCCTTCTATCTTGTTCATGATTTCTATTGATTTCAGCTTAAAAGTCTATGTTCATGGATCTGAACATCTAATTTTCTTACTAGGATTTCCATCTTTTGATTAGGCAAATTTTAGAATTTGTTTCTGTTGCTTTTAGTCAACAAATTGGTTGTCAAATAGGAAATGGTTCCAGTTTCAATTGAAAATGGCTCAAGTGCCTATCTTACTGGTCACAATGGTCTACAACTGAAACAATAATGCCAACAAAATATGAGTTTGCAAAATTGTTACTTATGTTACAAGAATAATTTTATTTTAACATTTTTTGAGAAGGAAATTCATGAAAAACATTATTATTTTATCAAGAACAAAGATTTGGTAAATTTATAGAAACATTAGGGAAACAATTTTACATGCATAAATCCTGGTAGTGACTTGTGTAAATTAGTTTGCATGTATAATTTCACACACATACCGATGAGGAAATAAATAAAAAACACATATCTGGTTGTTTTATCATATATAATTAGCGTTCCACATTATAAATGCTGACTTTGGTTCTTCTGCTCTCAATAACCTCTGGACAGAATCCCCTGCATGTTTACTCCTTGATAGCAGCGGAGATGAAACTATTTGTATTATAACACTAGCTATGAAATACTAAAGAGAACCTAAGATAGGGGGATGCCTTCATGGAAATCCAGGGCAGAATGGTCATAGATTTTCCTTGTGGCTACCGTGATCAATGATCCATATTCTGAATGATTTGAATATGAAGTTTGGTAACTACTAAAAAGATCAAGATATTTGTTTAGAAAATACCAAAACATGCCACATATGCTCATTACGGCATGTAACATTTGGCATGCATTTTGGTGCTAAGTGATTAAAGAGCACTCAATTAAGGGACACAACTTGGCACGTGTCAGAACACTTCTGACTACTCGTTAACTAGGTTTATCAGCAAGCCCTTGGAATTGGAACTCACATGGTGCATATAAAGGTCCGCAAATGATTTCCTTATGTGTTTTCAGTGTAGATTTTGACTTGAAACACTGGTTGATATTAAGTATGTTCATTGTTCAATTGTGATTTAATTCAAGAGCATGCTTGAGCAAAGCTTCCACTATACCAACCCCAGCCACATCTTCTTATCTAGCGCATATGTTAAAGTTCCTCCATCACATTTTAAATGCTGTGATTTCTATGTGAAAGCTCTAGTGCCAAGGGCTTGTATGTTTGTATGCTCGCTTAGCCTTAGGATGGGGTATTTATGTGGACTGAGAGTGATCGTTAGTAGTTGGATGCTGCTTGAAGGCCACAAAATTGAAAGTTGTCTGCACGTTGGAATTAGTTCCATCTTTTTATCTTCTCTATTCTCTCACTTTGGTGGTTCCTTAGTATGTACTTTTCCTTGGGTTTCATTTTCTTTTCCAGGAGGATCTTCTCTTTGAGCTTCTTAGTGTATTTACTTAAAGAGTAGAAAAGAAAAAAATTGAATTCTTGGGTTCTCATCCATGTGGTTTCCATTATTCCATATGATTTTGGATCATCTGTAGTTACTGCTTCTGCAGCCTGTAGGGTTTTGTCAGGGGCATATGTAAGGCTTTGTTCTCATCAGTAGTGGGAAGGAGATACTGTACTGTACTCCAATGGACTTTGTATACTTATTGTCCATTGGGCTCTTCATCATCAGATTAAATGATAATTGTGATGGCGAAATATTGGGATTCAGGACTTGACTCCACTCGTGAGGTTATTCTCCTACACATTCCGTCATCTTATCAGATGGAGATGACCCCAATGGACTACAGTTCATTGTCCCAGTATGCATTGGATCATAATATACTTTCTGATACTGTTATTCTCTAGCTTTCCTGTTTTTAGTTTGTGGATCATAGTGAAACTCCCCATTTAGTGAACCGAATGAAGTTCTTATGTATGCATGCATGTTTGCCCTTATCTTCCTTTGAATCCTTATATACCCTGATGGGCTTCTTTTTAGTGGAGTTCAGCAACACTAGAAAACATTTTTTTTTTCTTTTTCTTTGAAGCATTGGCAAACTCCTTGTATTGAGAAATTGACAAATGTTTACTTTGCCAATGTCCTTGTATTGAGAACTTGAGATATATTTCCAATGCCATGGCACAGGGCGACCAAGATGTCCGATGCCAAAGGGAGCCCCTCAGGCAGTGGGGCTGGAGACATCCTTGCTCTACATAAGGAGTGGGACGACGCCTCATGCCCCATATGCATCGAGCACCCCCACAACGCTGTTCTCATTTTATGCACCTCCCATGAAAAAGGCTGCCGCTCCTATATGTGCGACACGAGCTACAGGCATTCAAACTGTCTTGACAGATTCAAGAAGCTCCGACCTGAATCTAGGGTTTCCTCCCACTCTTACTCAGATAGCTCAGATAGTGGAAGGCAACCAACACACCACCCCTATGAATCAGGCTATTCAAGCCCAAGGACGAGGAGGAGGGTTCCATCATGGGTCTCATCGTCTTCATTCGGGGATTTCGGCATGGAGGAAACAATTGATGGGGATTCGTCAATTGCGGCGTCAGAGAATGGAGGGCCCACATGGGGCACTGACCCTTATGAGCCTGGTGGACGAGGTGATGATTCAGTAATTGGGATGTCACTGAATCAGAGTGGTCCCATTTGGGCCAATGGCCCCAGCACTTACAGTGGTCCCAGTGGTCTTGGCAGGCCAGTTGGTCTTGGGGAATCGGGTCTTAGGTGCCCATTATGTCGAGGCTTGGTTCTTGGCTGGAAGATTGTGAAGGAAGCGAGAAGATACATGGACTCGAAGCCAAGGAGCTGCTCAAGGGAATCGTGCACTTTCTCAGGAAACTATCGGGAGCTCAGGAGGCATGCAAGGCGGGACCACCCAACCATAAGGCCCACAGAGGCAGACCCCTCAAGACAACGGGCTTGGCGTCGACTTGAGCACCAAAGGGAGTATGGAGACATCGTCAGTGCAATTCGATCAGCAATGCCTAATGCTATAGTGCTAGGGGATTATGTGATAGAGGGGGGAGATGGGTCTCTTGATGGGCCTGATGAGCCTGTAAGCTCAGGGGCTGCTAACCCATGGTGGACAACCTTCTTCTTGTTCCATATGATTGGACCCGTTGAAGAACCGAGGGGACTTTGGCGAGCTTGGAGGAGGCACAGGTTGAGGCCTGGTGGGCTTTCAGCAGCTCGTCGTACCCTTTGGGGAGAGAACCTTCTGGGTCTTAGAGAGGAGGAAGAAGAGGAGGAGGAAGGGGGAAGAAGTGATGGGGAGGAGGGTGTGTCGGCATCAACAAGGAGGCGAAGGAGGTTCGCTCGACCTAGACGCCACCCTGAGCTCCCCTAAGAGGTCTCTTTCTCACTTAGCTTGCTCTATTTTGTGCATGTCTTAAAAAATTTTGGTTTCATCTCTCTCTAAATTCTCACTGTAATTCCTTTTTTGTTCTATTCATGGTTGATTTAAAATTTGGTTTATTTCATTCTTTTTCTGCCCCTGGCCCCCTTATCTCTTGAAACCCATCTACGGTCCTTTATTTATCAATGTAAAGTCTATTTGTGCTGAAGGCTGAATATTCTATTTGTTTCATCAAATTGTTAATCTTAGCTCTATAAGCCCATGGTCTTCTTGTTTCTCCATTTAAAACGTCCTTTTGTGCTAAAAGCTTTTTTCTTTTACCCTTCAATTGATGGTGAAAAGCTTACTGTGTTTCTACTGCTTTTAACAGTTCCACTCATCTCTCTTTAAATTTCCAGCCATACTTATTTTTTCCATTGCTGTTTGGTTACTTTCTCATAATCTTGATGTGTTTATTCTCGGTTTGGTTGCTGTATTTGTAACAGTTTGAACCAGTTTTTCATCCTTTACCATGCTAAAAATCTTATTTCTCCTTGTTTCATTCATGTTACAGTGGGTTGATGCTGGCTGACCTTAGGCTTTCAAATATGTACAGGATTGTGCTCTCTGTGTTTGTTTTTTCTTTTCATATTTATTGGATTTTACTTTTTAAGAATCCTGAAGCAATTGTACTGCATTTAGTGGGTTTAACAGTTTGATTCTACTATCAAAATTTGGAGAATTGGGAACACCCTCTTTTTATGATTATATGGGTTGTAATACTTTGTCGCACTTGCTGTGGTTATCCTTTATGTTGATCCATTTTCCCTCAAGAATGCTTCCTCTCTCTCGCTTTCTCTCGCATTTTCTCTCCAGAATGCTACCCCTCTCTCTCTCTCGTTGGTCCTAATTTATTGGGTGTGATTTGTATAAGGTTGCAACATTATTTGTAGAACTCATCCATTTTAACTGGAAAGTGTTTGATTCGTCATGTTTTTTAAGATAGTGTAAAAAAGTAGCACGTGTTTTAAGGAGTGTTTGATTCATCATGTTTTTTAAGATGGTGTCAAAAAGTAGCTCGTCTTTTAAGGTAGATAATGTCAAAAGGGGGAGGTTGATGGTATTAGATCTACATCGTTCAAGTAAAATAGATTCCACATATTACCCCAACTTGAGGTTGCAAAAACATGAAAAAAGTTTATATAAGGGTTCAACATTAAAATGTATAATTACAAATGCACCTCAAAACTCCATAAAAAAAGGATGTTTTAATGTTAAAAAAACCTCTAATTGATTATCTCAACATCGAGATGTATGAATATGAAAATATAAAAATAACATCTCATAAATAATGCATCTTGCAATACATTATCTAGACTATCCATTTTCAATGCTTTCATATGTTTATAGATCTATTTGATTTTAATCATTTTTGGAGTTTAAAATTTTATGATTAGGTATGAAAATGGATTTTGAGATAATCCTACAAAAAAATTTCACGAAAGTTACATGTTATGATGAAATTTGGAGGCGTGCCTTAATTGGATTGTTTCAGGTTGCAACCTTATGGAAACCGCACCCTTCCTGGGCGTCTTTTATACGAAATGAACATAGGAAATTGGCTCTCTGTTAATCGGTCAGTGGTTGCTTGAGAGGGGCTCTAGAGTGTTAAGCTCTTGGTAAGAGGTAGCTAAGGTTTCCAACTGAGAGCCGAGTTAGTCGATACCTTTCTTTATTTATTTATTTATTTATTTATTTATTTATTTTGATCCAATCTTGAGAGTAGTACCCTGACTTCCAAAAGAAAAATGATGAGATTACTCTGATGGACAAATGCAATGACCATAAATGAGGAAATACCTTCTTAAGGTGTCCATGAGAACTACCTAATAGCCAAATTTTATTTTTTTATTTGAACACAATATTTATTTGAATTTTAGGGTGTAGGTTTATTTTTTAAAGAGAAATAAAAAAAATTTAAAAATATTTTAAATAAAAAATGTTCAAAATATTTTTAAATTTATTTTGATTGGTCTACGAAAGGTGAGGACTTTAAACTTTCTTTTAACCTGTCTCAAGCCCGGTTAAGTAGGCAGTCAATGTAAAATTTTGTTAATTTCTCATGAATCAAGAATATAAGATACCTATTAATTGTAGGGCGTTTCTTGTAAGTGACGTGTTGCATCGGAACTCAGATATTGTGAGATATGAGTTAGGGTTAATTAGGGCGTTCCTTTGAAGCGTCGTGCCACAACACCACCCAGTTGAGTTTAAAATTAGGCAAGGGCTCTTGCGATATTCTACATGAGTACGGGGAAAAAAACTAGTCCAATAGAATAGGATTTGCCTAACCACATAGAATGTAGGAACACTTACATGTGCATACAATGAGACAAAAGAAAGTAAACATTTTGTCTACATGAAACTAAATAGAAAGGAGAAAAAAACTAAGGACATAGATGGCTATAAACTTTCATACACATGAAAGGATAATAATAAAAAGGAAAAAGTTTATATAAGGATGCAACCTTATAATGTAGAAGTACGGATGCACCTCCAAAATCCATCGGAAAAGGTAGTTTTAATGTTGAAAAACCCTTTGATTGATCATCTCGACATCGAGATGCATGACTATGAAAAATACAAAGATTTTAAGTCTCATAAATAGTGCATCTTACAACATATTATCTACACCGTTCATTTTCAAGATTTTCATATGTTTATAGATCTACTTGATTTTAACTATTTTTAAAATTTAAAATTTTATAATTAGATATCAAAATAGATTTTGAGATAATTCTAATAACATTTTACATCAAAATTATATATCATGGTAAAATTTGAAGGTGCACCTTACCTCTACAGCTACGGATGCATCTGTATGCCAACTGCACCCTAATAAAAATGGCATAGGTATAATAATAGATAAAGATTTAAAAGATCAAGTAGTTAATGTCAAGAGAATAGGTGATAGGTTCGTATTAATTAAACTTGTATTAGGAAAAACGATAACTAACATAATTAGTGGTTATACACCACATGTAGGACTAGATGATAAAATTAAAAAACAATTTTGGGAGGGCATTGAAGGACAAGTGCAAACATACCAAATGGAGAGAGGATCTTTTTAGAAGGGGACTTAAATGGACATGTAGGGAAGGATACTAGAGTATATGAAGGGGTAAATGGGGGATATGGGTTTGGTAAAAAAAAAAAGATGGATGAGGCTATTCTAGATTTTGTTATGGCTTACGACCTAGCAATAGCAAACAGTTTAAAAAAAAAACTATAAAAATAGATCACATAAAAGCTAGATAGACTCCTTCCGAGTTAAGAAGATAAATTGATCATCATGTAGAGATTGGAAGCTTATCTTAGGAGAGAGTTTGACTACTCAACATGGGCTTGTGGTTAGGGATGTCTGATTATAACATAGAAGAGAAGGGGTGAAATTAATAGGTGTTCAAGAACTAGGTGGTGAAATTTAAAAAATGAAAAAATAGTATCATTTAGAAGATAAATTAGTTAAAGAAGGAAAATAAAAACTTTGAACATGAGGTTTGTGTGGAATAAAATGGTTGACTGCATTAAGAAAGTGACAAAATAAGTTTTATAAAACTTGGCAGTGTAATTAAAATGATCAAAACTTATGAGAATATAAAAATGCTAAGAAAAAAGTTAAATAAATAGTAAGTAAGACTAAACTTAAGACATATGACAATCTATACAGTAAACTGAGAATAAGAAAAGGTGAAAAATATGCCTTCATATTAGCAAAAATGAAGGAGAAAAAGGGTAGGGATTTATACTATATTAAATGCATTAAAAGTGAAGCTCAAAGGGTCTTGGTAAAGGATGAAGAGGCCGACAAAAGGTAGATAGTTTATTTTACAAAATTATTAAATGACATACACAATGAGAACATAAGTAGAATGAATTGTTGGCATAAATGAGGGTGGAGATCATAGATGCATTTGTAGGATTAGGATATCAGAAGTGAAAGAAACTTTGAAGAGGATGAAGATATGAAATGCTTTAGGACTAGATGGTATTTCAACAGAGGTTTGGAAGTGCACAGGGGAAATTGGCATTAACTGGCTGACCAAGCTACCCAACAAAGTGTTGAGAACAAAGAAAATATCAGACAAATAGAGGAAAAGTATTGTGGTATTTATTTACAAGAACAAAAGAGATACACAAATGTGCAAACGATCAAATGATCAAACTTATGAGCCACACTATACTGCTAGGGGAGAGAGTGATTGGGCAATGTCTAATGCATACAACGAGTGTATCAAAAAACCAATTTGGTCTTATGCTAAGTAGGTCAACAACTGAGGCAATTTTCCTACTTAGGCAACTGGTTTAAAAGTTTAGGATGAAGTGAAAAGGCCTACACATGATCTTTATTGATCTAGAAAAAGCTTTTGATTGAGTACTTAGAGATTTGATTTGGTGGCTGTTGGAAAAGAAATGAGTTTCCTGACACTACATCGACTTGGTGAGATATATATACGAATGAGCGCTAACTAAAGTATGAATAACTAGTGGAGAGACGAGTTAGCTATCAATGACAATAGGTTTGCATCAGGGGTTAGCACTGAGCTCATACCTCTTTGTCTTAATTATTGACAACTTAACTAGACACCTACAAGATGGGGTACCATTATGCATCTTATTCGCGGATGACATAGTTTTGATTGATGAGACCCGAAACAACATCAATATAAAGTTAGAATTTTGGAGAGAGACTTTAGAATCTAAAGGTTTTAAAATTAGCAAGATCAAGACATGATATATGGAATGCAAGTTTAGTAATAATAGAAGTAGAGACAAGGAAGTAATTAAGATTAACAGCCAAACAATACCGAAAAGAGTGTATTTTCAATATCTTGGGTCGACAATCCAAGATTATGGAGAGATTAAAGAAGATGTCGCACATAGAATTAGAGCTGGGTAAGCGAAGTGAAGATGTGCAATCAGAATTTATGTGATCGTCGTATACCAGTGAAACTGAAGGGCAAGTTTTATAAGACAACTATAGGACTAACTTTTCTTTATGGGGTGGAATGTTGAGCCGTAAAAAACAACATAGCCGTAAAATGAGTGTAGCTAAGATGATGATGTTGAGATAAATGAGTGGTAAGACAAGTAAGGAGTAGAAGTAAAAATGAATATATTCGAGAGAATTTAGGTGTGGCACCAAAAGATGATAAGATGAAAGAAAGTAAACTTAAGTGAGTTGGCTATGAGTGGCGCAGACCCAATACAACACCTGTTAGGAGGTATGAGTTAGTTCAAGTAGAAGGCTAAACAAGGGCAAACGGTGGGCCCAAAAGGACATAGTTGGAAGTAGTAAGAAAAAATATGGGGACTTATGGCCTCACTGAGAGTATGGCCCTTAATAGAACAAAATGACAGACCAAATTTTTGTGTAGCCAACCTCAATTAGTTGAGAAAAGGCTTTAATGATGATGATGGCTTTTAAATTTATTTTGATCAATATTTTTTATTTGAAATACATTTTTTTACTTTTATTTAATTCGACTTATAAAATTAAAATTAAAACCCACATTTCATATTAATAGTATTTTTAGATAAAATTAAAAATACAAAAACAAAATTCATTTTTAGCTCTTGGACCTAGTTGATTCAATATGAACCAAGGTTTTAAAAAAATGGATTGGTGACCCATATCGGCTATCCCAAAAACCGTGTTGGACTGGTGGATCAGTAATCCGGATCACAGAATCGACTGGATCGGTCAAAACTTTTCTTTCAAACAATCATTGAAAACCCATGAAAATAGTATTTTTTCAGTTTTCAATAAATG